AAGATGGTGGAGCTTGGTTGGTAGTCTTTGCTACCTAACTTGCACAAGGCCCGATATTCTCAATGGTGTTGGGCTCGTGAGCAGATATATGGAAGATCCGAAATCTTCACACATGTTGGTGGCAAAGAGGAGCCTCTGATACAACAAAGGTACAACATATTTCGGTTTGTTTTATTCAAGTTCTAACAACTTTGAATTTGTTGCATATAGTAATTAGTAATAGTGATTGGGCCGGAGATGTTGATGATCGAAAAAGTACAACCTATTTACACTTTCTTTACCGGCGATACTACTTTACTTCTACTAAATCAAAGTAATCAAGAATGTTCCAAGTAAGCCAACAAAAAGTCCGCAACTAGCAAAGGTTTATAACTAAATCAAAGAATGCAAACAACTTCACTTCTACTACATGAGATATATTGAGCTGTTAGTCTGAAAACAATAAACTAGGAAAATAGATGCAACTCATTCTTCATCAAATTTATAGTCCATCTCGCGCAATCACTTTGCTTTTCAGCTAACAGAAGGATCCAGTTCATCCCTTACTATCACAATGTCATCGATTAGTATAGAGAGCTAGATTGCAAAACGTACTATCTTCCATTGTAAGTTCATCCCTTACTATCACAATGCCATCGATTAGTATGGAGAGCTAGATTGCAAATCGTACTATCTTTTAAGTTCATCTCTATTGTCACAATGCCATCGATTAGTATGGAGAGCTAGATTGCAAAACATACTATCATCCATACCCCCACCGGCCAGTTGCACTTAGCACTCTGAATTCTTTATCTTTCGAGATGGACAAAATTTGCAGACAGGAAAATAGTTGAGGGGGTGATAAGTGTCACCGAAGACGATGTAAAAAGGGTTGGGTAGTAGTGTGAGAACTCTAGTTGGCAAGTCAGCTCGGAAATCTAATGATAGCTCATCTGGGCATTTTATCGAATAGTTAAAGAGCACTTTAAATCAAAGAGAACAACTAATCATACCTTGGCATTGAATGCTTGTATCTTTTGTTAGCGTGAAGCTCTCGAACTCGACTCGGTTGAGCTCTGCTACCAATTTTGAATGGATATGTTCATATGTGCATTTTATCAAATAGTTGAAGTGCCTTGTCAATTAACCATTCCTCAGATGGGCGCTTTTATTGCTTGTACCAGCATTTTATGGAGCAGTTCAATAGCAACTTCGAACAGTAATTTGCGCTTGGGTTGGGTGGGGGTACATGTGGCTCAGTTGCTTCTTGTTTGGGGTTTTCGATTATAGTTCACTAAATCTTTACCCTTCTGAAATTAGCCCCTCAAATCATTGAAAATGCCATCAGGTCCCGCAATTCTTATAACTTGTAAATGTAGCGTGATAACATGAAAGTGTAGTGTGATAACTTATAAGTGTAGTGTGATAACCACCAAAATCACACCCTACACATTAATGAAGTTGAGAATTAATTGATGGATTGATAAGTGAGTGAGAATTAAACACATTAATGAAGTTGAGAATTAATTGATGGATTGATAAGTGTGTGAGAATTAATTGATGGGTTCATAAGAGTGGAAGAATGTAGTAATAATGGATGAGAGAGGGAGTTAATTGAGAAATGGAGAGAGAGAGAGAAAGGGAGGGGGCGAAGAGAGAGAGAGAAACGGTGGGTTCCTGCCGTTTCTCTCCTCTCCCGTCGTTTCTCTCCTCTCCTGCACCTAGGGGAGAGAAACAGATAAACAGCTCGTTCCTCTCTCTTTCTATCTCTTCTCTCTCTTCATTTTCTTAAATTTTTTAAAGGGGCCCACTTAATGAAGGACACGAGATAAATTGAAAGGGCATAATTGGGATTTAAGGGAAAAAATTAAGGGGTCTCACGTATGCAAGTATTGTATTTTGAAAGTTGGGTTTAAAGACAAATACAAAAAGATAATTGAGTTTAAATATATAAGCAATAGTGATTGGGTTTATAGGTAAAGTTGAGTAAACAAATTGGGCTAGAAATAAAAACCCCTATTAAAAACATCCTAAAAATTCAAAATAAAAAAAACCGAAAAGTCAAAACTTACAACGGGTATAAAAGTTTATAATTTAGAAAAGTCCACTGAGAAAATGATATTTGCAAACAACACCCTAAAACTTTTAAAATTAACAAAAAACACACCCAAAATTTCCAAAAACACCCTGAAAATATCTAAACTTCCAAACAGTAACAAAACCTATGAATGATAAATAGGATCATAAAAACTTTGGCAATGGACTCTATGTTAAGTATAAGAATTATAAAATAATTAAATGGATCACTTGAGTCGATAGTTAACCCGTTTAATAAACCCGATTTCGTTTAATAAACATGTTCACCCGATTATTTGATGGATCGGGTCAGGTCAAAATTTATATGCGTCGGATCGGGTGGGTCGACCCATTTGCCAACCCTAGATAGTAGTATGAGAACTCTAGTTGGCAAGTCAACTCAGAAATCTAATGACATCTCTTCTGGACGAACAGTTAAAGAGCTTTTTAAATCAAAGAGAACAACTAATCATACCTTGGATGCTTGTATCTTTTACTAGTGTGAAGCTCTCGAACTCGACTGGGTTGAGCTCTGCTACCATTTTCGGATGAACATTTTAACTTGGGCATTTTATCGAACAGTTGAACTGCCTTTTCAATTAACCATTCCTCTGATACAAGCATCCAAGGCAAGATTAGTAATTCTCGGACTAATATGGGAAAAGAAATTATTCTCAGACTTAATTGATATTTATTACCACCAATTTGAATATAGTGTGCTGGGAATAGCCAACCGTCTGCATATATATACATATGTATATATAATTGCAAAATACACCTAAAGGTTACAGATAGAGTATGATTCATTTGATGTGGGGAATGCCTTAACTATATTTGACAAATTGCCTTTCAATTTCCTACACAACAAATTTATTTGCCAGCCAAGTCCTGACTCTGATTATATGTTCATCCTCGTGCTAGCTAGCTAGTGTTCAACATTTCAGTAACTTTCTACGATAAGGGAACACACCAGGGTACCTGAGAACTAGAAGTTGATCCATTGGCTCTTCCAGGTTGAAGTGAACGAAGGATCAACGTCCAGCAAAATTCCTAGCTTGAAACATCCCGACCACCTCATAGAGAGGGGAACACACCAGGGGACCTGAGAACTAGAAGCATTAATTAGCAACAAAATTTTTTTTAATGGCATGAAAAACAGTTCTATTGTGGAAATACATTTATTTATTCTCAGTCGGGGATGTCAACGCCGTTGCTTTTCAACAAAACGTCCGATTCAGGTTTGCGTGACGAACTTCTCTTCTACTCATCTCACAGTAACAAATTTTTGGGTACAACTATGCTGCTCCACGAGACTGTTTACGAGATTTTTTTGTGAATTTTCATTTCTAGCCGATCAGCTCTTTTGAGTCAGGCTCTTAATGAAGAAGCTGTTAGTTGATATTGCCTCTGATTTCTGTGAGCTGCTTTTACCGTGAAACTGGGCTCCGTAGTTGGCACAGGAAATGTGAAATGACGCAGAATTTAACTCCTTGAATTTGGATATTTGAAGTCCACATTTGAGAAGTTGATGGCTAGACTAAAATTAACAGACCAGATCAATAGACAAAACCGGATTAGAAAATTAAGAGAAGGACATAACAGAAAATCAAAAACATTGGCTGAGTTAAAAATAAACCTTAATTAAGTTTTTAATGTGTTAAGTTATCAACCTTAAAAGATATTTAAAAGAGACGAGAAAAAAGAGAGAGCTAAAACAAATAAATGAAATAGTTTATGCATGAAAAGAATTGATGGTAAAGGATTCAATGTCAAGGAACAAAGCTATATAATTTTCCACCAGTTCCAAATAATTTGGCAAGATCATGAAATTTGTCACAACCCCAATTTTCAAGACCTCGAAGGAACATTGGAGCCCAACAAAACTAGTTAAAATATTCTCCAAAAAAAATACATTCATCACATGACCAACAAAATAATCTAAGCATTAAATTCAATAGCCAATAACAATTTTCTCCATAAGCAAAAGTCTATATTTATCCAATCAAATAATGTAAATAAAAGTTCTCCCAACTAGAAAAGAGAATTCAACCGTAAAAAAATAATCTTATTACTACATTCTTCCAAAAGTAAACTAAACATCGAAGCCTTTATTTATCCTTCACATAATAGCAATTTTGCAATCTACAATTTATTCCTTGCTCTCTTCTAAGGATTCAAAAACCATCACCTCCACCTAATTTTGAGTCTCTGAACAAAAAGGTGAATACAACTTGATCACAACAAAAACTAAAATATTTTGACTTGATAAGAAAAATATTAGAATAGTAGAAAACCATCAATGAACTCTCATATTTGATGCAACATTTTTTAAAATATAGATTCATGCAATAAGTAGGCCATGTCTCAATGTGGTCAATACCTAATATCCTAGTTGACATGGTATCCCCATTTTTATTAATGCCATTGTACTAGGATATCAAGACCTAAAATTTTAGGCTTAGCGCTAAAATAAATCTCATGGAGGCACATTGAGCCGTATTTAGATGACTTACTTATCTTCGTTATACACCGGTATATTGACATTGAGATGCATATGTTTTCAAAAGAATGAACAAACATCATATAAACAAGCATTTCAGAAAGAAATATGACAAAGGTCACCCAATAATGAAAATCAACCACATATTTATCTCAACCTACTACTACATGAAAAAGACTTGACTGTCAACAAAGAAAATAAGCATGATTTATACCAAAATATCCGTGTGCATCTCAAAATATGATCCAATCAACAAGTGCTATGTGAGCAAATAATACAAAAGGATATAATCCATTGAGAAAATAATTCACATATGTTTAGGATACCTTTTAGATAAAAAATACGCAATGCGTAACGTATAAATCCCCCACTTACAGAACACCGGACGAGTACCGGAATCCCTCTCACAATGATACTTCGTAGTCTCTAGTAATACCTAGAGAATAAATACAAGCAATTATTACTTCTACTATAGATCAGTCACCACAGAGGAAACTGGGGGTGGACGATTTATGTAATGGGAAGTTCCCAAAACCACAGCAATGTAATGAATAACAACTCCCATTCTCACCATGTCTATGCACTCAACACTCTCTCTGTTAAAGTCTGGACATAAAATTCCCAATTGGTCAAACCTTCCTACAGTTAGGACCACAACCAAAATCCCCTCTCCGCAATGCGTAACGTATAAATCCCCCACTTACAGAACACCGGACGAGTACCGGAATCCCTCTCACAATGATACTTCGTAGTCTCTAGTAATACCTAGAGAATAAATACAAGCAATTATTACTTCTACTATAGATCAGTCACCACTGCTAAATATATAATTAACATGTTAACCATACTAGTCACTCAAACAATTAATGTCATTTGTAGTTAAACATGCAGCAACTCTACACGAGTCCGCTGACGAATTGATATTTTTTTTAACCTTTTATGACAAATTAATCCAAACACCTAGAATCATAAAAGTTCGCAAACCCTAAACAAATTAAGACCACTTCATTTATTCATATCTCATACATATGATGTTTAAGATAAGATCATCCTTGTTTAACTTCTTTTCTCTAAAACCGCAGGCTGTTCTCCCTTCAAAACTTGCGGCTCTTTTTTTTTCCTTTTCCTTTTACTCGTTCTTCCTTCTATCTTTGATTTTCAGTTTTGCTATCTTATGTTTTTCAATTTTTTTAGTGAAAGAACGATGCTACAGATTGTTCCTTTCTTTTATTTGGCATCCACTTCCAATAAACCCCTTAACAAATATCCAATTGCAACAAGACCCTTAACAATTGCAATAGTTATTATTTTCTTTCTTTGCATAAAAGTTCTTTTATAACTTAATATTTATAATGTAGACTTATTACCAATAGAAAATTAGGGATACTACAAAGCTATCCATAAAAATGCCATGACTAGAGTGAATCATTGGCTATATGCAACTTTGAACAGCAAAGATACAACATCAGGAGAGGAAGAGAGATTGTACCGAATCGCTAATCAATTTTGATGTCAGGGATGTGTTGAATGTTGGGCCAATCAGCACCTTCATTCTCCTGGCATCGCTTCTTCAGTGTCTCGTTGCAGTCCCTGATTATCAGAAATTGCAGAGACAGAGGAAGTTGTGGCAGTGATTGAAGCTCACAAGCGTTTGCAAGTAGTAAAGTCTTGAGGGAAGAGAGAGTTTGGAGGCTAGAAGGCAAGAACTTTGCTTTACCCCACAGATTGAGACGTCGCAGTGAAGTTGAATTCTGCAACAACCATGACTCTGCGAGAGCAGCCTCCAGATGACTACAATCTTCTATTGCTAGCAGTCTGACAGATGTCGAGTTTTCTCAATGGCTCTATGTGGAGCAGGAACGGGTCATCGATTTTAAGTTCTTCAACAGTTGATGTGAACTCCTGCTCCTCTACCCATTTAATTGATGCTGGAGTTGTTTCCGCAGCTGCTTGCACAAGCTTGGGACACTTGTGAATACTTAGCATGGAGAGGTGGGGAAGAGCCTTTAGACGCCCAATTGATGTCAGCTCTCTACACCCTGCCAGTCTCAACTCCCTCAGTGACATAAATCTTCTACACTCCACTTCGGATGGAAAGGCGGTTATGTGGTTAGCTCCACCTAATCCAAGGAATGAAAGAGAAGTAAGGGAACTTTGCATTAACAACGTAGGAGTGAGACTGTCCGATCCACCACAATAACCAAGCCAAAGCCGTTCGAGTGATGAGAGAGAGAAACAATCAATTGGGGGTAACTGTGTTTGGAGACATCCTCAGCTTAGGGCAATATCTAATCTCCAACTCCCTGAGAGATGTAAGATGATGTCGGAACAAGCCAGCCACGGATGTCAGCTTTCCACACCTTCTAATTATCAATGTAGAGAGGGAGGGAGAGGACGTGGATGAAAAGCTAGTACTGCAGCTGCTACCACTGCAGTTGCTGCCCACCCAGAACGTTGGAGAATCAGACAATCCCACAACTTCCAACTCCAATTTTTTGAGACCGAGTGGCAGAGGGGGCAGTGCCTTCAGTTTGCGACAATTCTTGATAACAAGTTCTTCGAGGAGAGGACACCAGGGTACTGCCTCTGCTTCTAATCCACACCACTCTTCCCATTGCTCACAGTCAGATATATCTAAAAGCTTCATTTGTTGAAAGCCACCTTCACAATTAATTTGCCGAAGAGCTGGCAGTCCACTCAATGCCAAACGCATGAGGTATGGGAGCTTCCCGAGAGAAGGAAGGTGCTTCCATGCCCTGCCATATTCAAGGCTCATGTACTCCAGATTTTTTAATAATTCTGGTTCCATCCAACATGGAGACCTGGCACCTTGGTATCCCTTGATTGTTAGTTCCCTGAGGCTATCAGGTGGCTGCAGGCGATCAAGCATCAGTTCATACTCATCCGCCACATCACTATCATCAGACCAAACCAGCTCTAACTTGAGGAGGTTCCTTTTACGATGCAACTCGATCATACTAACTTCCTTGTGATGTTTGCGATTCTCAAGACCACGGATCTTCAGTTCCTGCAGATCTTTCAGGTCCTTCAATTCGCTCATTTTACAAACATTAGCAGCAAACGACAAACGTTGAAGTGAAGTTAATGTCCCTAACCCCTCGATTTTTTTATAGTAAACTTCACATGGTATCAGGTGTCTCAAACTAATAAGATTATTCAAGCCAAGAACAGTCTCATTAGCAAAAAATTCACAGGCAAGGACCTGCAGGTGGTAAAGCCTACAGAATGAACTAGGTAACCGAGAAATAACATGACGAATCGACAAATATCTAATATGCCTCATGTTACCAATTGCATCTGGCAATACATTCATGCCGTTAACAGCTAGGCGCAACACCCGAATGCTTTCCAGTAATTTAAACGCTTCTTCCAAAGCCTTAGCATGCTCATTAACATATCCTCTAAAGACTAACACAAGTGCACGGAGATTCTTCCTTTTGCCCACATCTTTAAGAAGGTCAAGTTTTCTGGTTGCAAAATACAGATGACGTACCGTATTCGGGATTTGATCAATTGAACCTCCAACAAATCTAAAGCAATCACCACGAGATACTTTACATGCTAGATCATGCAAAAGGTCATGCATGATATAGTAACGTGCATGTGTTTTATGTTGGCGATTAAAAAAGGTACCGCCTTTTTCAAGAAACGACAGTTTCACTAAATCATCAAAGCAACGCCGTCCTATATCCTCCGGTGCCTCCGTTGGATATTGGGGAGATTGTTGAATGAAGCCGAGAGCAATCCACGTGAAGACTAGATCATCTTTCTCGAACCTATAACCTTGAGGAAAGATGCTGCAATAAGAAAAACAGGGTCTTAAGTGCATTGGTAAATGGTGGTAGCTTAACATCAAAACTGCATTCACACCATCCCTCTGCTGTGCTTGATCGGATATATTGTCCGCTTGCAAAATTCTGGTCCAATGACTATCATCCAACTTAGAATTCAATAACGCCCCAATCATCTTTGCAGCCAATGGTAAGCCCCCAAGCCTTCTTGCTATTTTCTCGCCAATGGATTCCAACTTTCTATAATCACAAGAATTTACCCCAGAAAATGCATATTGCTTGAAAAGTGATAAGAAATCATCACCGTATAAGGGATTTAACTTCAACGATTTCTTTATTGACCCACCCAAAGCCAATGCGGCCATGTCTGCAGCGCTCTCCAATCTAGTAGTTAACAAGATTTTGCTTCCTTTATGGCCGCTCCTCAAAGGAGCAAACAATTTATCCCAATCAAAACGATTGTCATCATTCCATGCATCATCCAAGACAAGGAGAAATTTCCCAGACGATACCAGTTTCTTAAGAGCTTCTTGCAAAGCGCCAAGTCCCCTGACTTCAGGTCTACTTTCCGTAGCGTATTCTATCAAATCTGCCATGACCTTTTTGGCATTGAAAGGAGTGGAGATACACGCCCAGAGTCTGCGATCGAAGGAATTAGCTAAGCTCTCGTCATTATAGACGAGTTGTGCGAGGGTGGTTTTGCCCACTCCTCCATGGCCAATAATAGGAAAAAGAGACACATTGGTACCACCCTCATCCTCTTCTGCGACAGGCTTTCTCAACCACGCTAACAGTTCCTCCCTCTCTTCATCTCGTCCAAACACTTTTCTCTCAGTTAGAGCTGGTCCAGTTTCACGATAAGCCATGCTCTGAGCTCGATGTTGTTGATGCAGTTGTTTGGATTCTTGTAGCGTAGAGATGAAATTTCCCACGCCCGCTGCGACTTCATCTAGCCTTTTCACAGCCCCCCTCAGTTTCTCGAGGGTGGGATCAGATTTGAATACTCTTTTACCAACTTTTACAACTTTCCGTTTGGAGTCGGAGAGAAAATCACTCACTTTACCCCTGCCTGCATGCGAAATTGGTAAAGAAGTTTCATTTTCTTTTATTGGTTAAATTCGAAAAACAATCAATTATTTTTGAGCATCTGATTGCCAACCTTCAATTATGAAATAAAAAACTGATAACAAGAAGGTGAAATTTACATTTTTTTTTGACATTTAAAAAACCATCACTCAACTTGTTTCTGTAGCTTAAGGTAATCAAGCTCATCAAGTACGTTGTCAGCCTCATCCAACGCATCTTTTAGTTGCCACAGCCATTCGTTGACTCCTCCCTTGATCTCTTGCTGCCCGCTCTCTGCCATCTCCACAACAGCTTGGATGCGAGGAAGAGCATCGTTGAGCCTCTCAAGCTCAACTTTCATCCGAGTATCCCGAGCAAAATACCGGTCTGCTGCATAATCGAACCCGACCTCCACCAATTTCTCGATGATTTTGGTCACAATCACGTCTCCGACCACCGCCATGTTCTTATGAGTAGCGAACGCTCTTCGCTTTTGCTTTCTAGCAGTAGATGTAAGCTTTAATTGCAGAGAGTTGCAGAGAAAAAATAATCTTTAGTTCTCCTACATTACTTAAGAAATGGGGACTTATATCTACACTCCGAATTATTATGATAAACCCCACTCCGCCCCACATTTAGTTGCAGTTTGCAGGCGAAATTGAGAGGATGAATATCAACTACTTGTGCAGTTCACGTCTATAAGTCAATAAGGGGGTGTTTGTTTCAAATCCCAAAATTTATGGATATGGATTTCACCATAAAATTTGAAATCCATAAATTTTTTTGTGGGTTTTGGGATCTCTAAAATTTTGTTTGTTTCATCAATATTTTAGGATTTGGAATACCAAAATTTGTAATATTATGTTTGTTTCATCAATATTTTGGGATTTGAAATACTATAATTTGTAATATTTTGTTTGTTTCATCAATATTTTGGGATTTGGAATACTATAAATTATATATTATAATATTATATAATATTTTAATAACATATATTATATAATGTATATAATATATATATATATATATATATATATATATAATATATTATATAGTGATATACGTATATAAATATATAATATATATATATATATATATATATATATAGATACGCTAGTATATACTGATAATATCCACGTACATATATATATTATATATCTATAACTATAATTGAATAGATATATTAAATATTAATACGATATAGTAGATATATTATATGATACATATATATTATATTAAATTATATTAATATTATTAATATATAATACATAATATATTGATATATAATGATATATAAATTGCTAAGCACGCGTAATTACTGTAATATTTACAACAGCGGCATGAACAGTGATTCTGGGCCCTCCTATTATATATACATATATGAATATAATACTCATATATATATATTTAATATATATATAATTATATATAATAACTAATATATGTATATATATATATATATATATAGTATATATATATATATTATAAATATATATATATATATATATATATTGATATAATATATATTAAGAGTTATATGATATATTATTATATACATATAAATGATATAAATATAATATATTGATATATATAATAAAGCATAATATATATGATATATATTAATATATATAACAATTATATATTTAGATATTATATATAATATATAAATATAATACGTATATATATATTATATATATAATATATAAATATAAATAACATATATATAATATAAATATATATAATATAATATATATATATAAATATATATATCATATTTCTCTATATAATATATAATTGCTACAGGTAATTTACTACAATACAGCACAGCATCGAACAGTATTATATATATATACGTAAGCATGCACGGTACTTACTAAGCATGAGACGTGATTATTGTGTCCTACCTATATATATTCTATATATTATAATAGTATATATATATTATATATAATATTATATTATATAGATAATTTATATAAATAAATATAATATATCATATATGTTCTTAATTGATATAATGGACATTATTATATTAAATATTATATTATTATAATATTATATATAATATATTAATCTTATATTAATCTTATATTATTAGCATTAATACATCAATATCCAACCTACATCCTCTCTCAATTGTAGAATTTCACAAATTCTAAAATATAATAGTTTTTTATTATTTGAGGATTCAATATCCCAAAATTGGTTATGAAACAAACATGGTTTATGGAATTCTAAAACCCAAAAAACTTGTAATCCACCTTATATCCCAAAAAAAGGACAAAACAAAAGAGAGGATTTCACAAATTCTAAAAATATATTATTTGTTTATAATTTAGGGATTCAATATCCCAAAATTAATTTTGAAACAAACAAAGTTCATGGAATCCCAAAACTCAAAAAGAGCACTTTTTACATCCCAAAATTTGAAATCCACCCTATATCCCAAAAAAAAAAAAAAACAAACACCCCCTTAAGTCTATTGTGGGTGTTGGAAAAATTATTGATTCCTTACCTTTATAATTTTCAAACTTGATGATAAGGATCCATTATGAACCATGTGATTATGTTAACTTAACTGAGTCAATTATCGACAAAACCAATCAAGAAATGTTCCTTAGATATTATTGGTTGTTAGCATAACTTTGTTCATTTCTGTAGGAGAGGGATTCATGGTTGGGTAGAGTAAATCATGGAGGCTGATACGATTTTGGGTGAAGGTGGTTAATGAAAAATCTTTATAAAATGAAGGGTTATCTCATTGTTAAGAAGTACAATGGAAAACCAAAAGTTTCTATTCGAAATCCCAAATCAAAACCAACCTATTTTATCTTTATACTAGTATCAAAGTAGATTAAAGATCCGTTCCCTCGTTTTTACCCATAAGAGGTTGTTTGGTTCGTTTCCTAGATATAGAGAAATGTAATTTCATGTAAAGAAACTCAAGTTTTGAGTTTTTCAAACTTTTCTAAGAAATATATTATTTTGGTTTGGTTCACACATAAAATAAGGTGGGAAACTAATGTATGGACTTTCTTGTGTTTGTTTGGTTTTGAAGTGTGTAGGGA